CAAATATAATTTGCTGACGTTAAAGAGAAGCAGGATTACTTAAGTATAGACTAACATTTAGTCTCTGAAATCTTATATTACACAATATCCTTCTTGACTCTAAAAATTAAAAAAATTCTCTATGCTGATTGTGGAATAGAGCTAGCTTGAGCTGGCTAGACTTGCTTTTGTATGCATTTCTAGATTATTATTTTTTCATAAAATAAATATATTCCAAGGTCATGGTGCAGGACTAACTTAAGTACAGCACCGACTGCTGTGTCCCTTGCAAGAGAGGGGGATGTTTTGCGGGTGTGAGTGGTGTGAGTATCACCATGTTGCTGCCACTGACATTTACAAGATCTTGTCTAAATAACCATCCGGATTTCCTCCGCTGATAAAGGCGAAGAAAACTACGACGTGTAGAAACAGTAGAATTCAAGCAGAACATTTTGCTAAAACTATTGTGATAAGATCATAATCAGCATACCATGAGAGTTCGACAGGTTCAAAAAGGTTTCGACATAATATTTGTGTATACTCTGCTATATTTAAGACAAATGTAAGCTGTAGAAAGGATCTCATACGGAACATAAGTTCAATTAAACACTTGAAACGGGAACGTACATGTAATTTGTTATTGGTGTTAGGGGAGTCAAAACGAACATAAAACTAATAATTATATTGACAGGCATTTGTTGAGACAAAGTAAAAGAGAAATGCTTGCTCTGTAAGCCTATTTCGTTCCCTATGATTCATGTAAACTGTAACTGTTCTGTTATTCATTGTGAATGCGATATATGCTTTTCATCTTGTTTATATGTTAACGGAACTCGTAGGGGCGTGCTACCATATGGCGCATATAAGGGAATGAATTTCATTCAGTTCCAGTGTCATGTTTCAGGTGGCATTTTATAGTCACGGTTATCGGCATAGGACGAGGAGATTGGAAGATTCTGAACATTATTTGATATATAAACACTGTAACCTTTGTGCAGCATTAAGGTGTGTAGTCTAAGCTTATATTAAATGTGATGTCATTATCTCGAAATAGTGAGTGAGGGAGTATGGTTTTACGCCGCTTTAGCAATATTCCAGCAATATCAAGGCGGGGGACAACAGAAATGGGCTTCACACATTGTACCCATGTCGGGAATCGAACCCGGGTCTTCGGCGTGACGAGCGAACGCTTTAACCACTAAGCTACCCGACCGCCCCTATCTCGAAATAACAAAATAGAATCTATTTACATCCAGTCGCGCTATCTCGAAGTGACAAATTATTTCCGACATAACTATATCTTCTAACTTGGGTCTCTGTATTGTAGTGACAAATTTATTACTGCATATCTATATATTTTACATCCGTCTATCTCGAGGTGAATAATTACTTCCGACAGTATCCGTATCTTTTCGAAGTGAGAAATAGTCCCGACAGTGTTTGTATCGCAACGTGATGTAGTGCTATCGGCGTCTGTTTAAATCAACCTCTTCCAAGCCTAATGTCTCTTTGACAACCCCCCCCCCCCGCCCCCCCCCCCCCCCCCCCCCCCCCCCCCCCTCCCTTCACACACACAGACACTCGGAGACTCGGGCATAGATACGCGTCACACATACACCTGTAGATACATATAATGCATTATTAGTACATCGTCCACAACCGTTGTTGGGTCGCATTCAAGCCTCAGGATAAGCTTCGCTGTTTTGCGTAGCAGCTGTCTCCGAGATCAAAACTCTTTATGCACATAATTACAATGTACCAATAGGTCTGTGTCATTTCATATCATGCTGGGGCATTGTGATACAAACCGAAAGCACACGCACGACATGCAGCGCAGAATTTCTACATCGGTGTGAATAAAATCGGATTGAAATTCACAGCGTTTAGCATGTGTGCATGTTCTTATCACTGAATAATAATAACCAAGCCATTGTTTTTTCTAGTGACAAACAGACAGTCATTGCAGATCTAGTTTTATAGGCTCTTTTATCTTGACCGTAAGGGACGCGATTGATATGCGAGGAATGTTGTTTTCTATGTCTTCATCCATTTATTCAACGAAGAGTATACACTGCAAAATCGATCTTTAAGTCTGCTTTCGTAAACCACTACTTTTGGGTAAGGTGTTGGGAAATCGGGGATTATCATCTGGAATTCGAACCCAGATACTGGTACAACTAAGGGACGCAACTCTGCACGGTTAATTGCAACGTCATAATCACTTGAAAGGTTGTGATATCTCATAATATATCAAACATATTGTGTAACCCTTTCGTGGTCTTGTGGATAGAGCGTCTGTCTTGAGAACGGAATAATCGAGGGTTCGATCTCCGGTCGTGTCATACAAAAAGACATGGTACTTTTTGTTACAAGCAGCCACACACAACCGTTGTAATATAAGTGCAGTAATATTGAACGCGTCGTTAAAGCTCATTTCACATCACCTCGCTTGAGGGGATTATGGATTAAAATTGGTCCCCAACAACCTATATATATGCTGGCTGTCAGAGGCGACTTGGCAGGTCGAGTAATCAGGTGACTGTGTGACATTTGTGTGTGATGTCATGTCACAACGACCTTTCATTTGACCAAACAGAGCATGGCTTATCAGATCATGAAAGTGACACAGGGTATTCCGAACGACAGTTATGGGATTTAAATTCTGTATTCATCCAATCTAGACCATATATTAGCCATTCCAGAATGGTCTTTTGTTCAGTTTTTATTTTTTCTAATCGAATATATGTCAAAATATGTTTCGAAGCGTAGTCGTCAGTTTGAAACTCGTGCTGTAAAGCTCGATTAAGCTGCCTTCTGATTGGCTATTGTCGACTTCTTGTTAGTCATTCCACTGGTCGGTCAAAGTTCACGAAAGTTCCGTCTGACGTGACCCGTAATGGGATGTCCTCAGATCTATGTTTAGCCGTAGCGAGAACTAAGATCTGATTTTAATGAGATTGGAATATTGCTGAATGTGGCATAAAACAGAATCAACAACAAGCACAACACTTTTAATAATGTAGACTCATTTTCTCTAGTACGTTTCTCTCAAGGATTCTTTCAAGCAAACATAATGAAATATAAAGAAATGCATTCATTTTCTTTCAAATACGTGTCACTATTTGGGTTCACATTGCAAGTGCTAGGTTTTTGTCCGTTGACTGAACTGACGTAAAAACGCATGGGCACAATCCGAGGTACTTCACAATCCTACAGCTACGAACGTGTGTAGTTTAATCACCTTCCAAATGTGAGACAATTGTCAAAACGTTTAATTGCATTTCTCCGAAATATGGAACCCTCAATTGAGGTTATTAGTCTATACTGTAAGAAGTATGTTACAGTCAGAGGGCTCTCGAGAGTCCCAACAGACTTTTGCCGTCAACGTTTCAACCACCTCAGCTTCATATCGACAGCTCATCTTCATATTATTTAATGGAATTATAATTATTATTCACCTATAAAAACTAAAATTCAGCTTCTAAGGGGACTCACAGCCCTTCCGTTTATGGTACCCCGTCTATCCTCATGTAAGACTTAGACTTTTACTAGGAACAACGGGATATGTAGGGTCATAAACCATATCGTGTTCCCTGAACGATGGTATTGAAACAACATGGAATAATGTCAGTAAGCTAGTGGTTGATAGTGTGAGCATCGATGTATGTCCTTAGGTGAGATGACATAATAATCACTGTCACAACGTGTACTTGTCCACGTTTGACACTTAGCAGTCACTGATGCTACCAGCTCTATGTTAACTCGTCGCTTTTCGACAGCGTTATGAATATCCCTGAGGCAATACGAGCAGCCTAAAACAGGCAATTATCTCAAGTTTGCGAGTCGTAAATGTAATTTGTCATATTCTGACTGAAACAAAATGATAGAATATCCACAGCAGAAAATATTAGAAGGTTGAATAAATAGTTTGTTTGAAATCAATGTCAGCACGACCCGACCCGTCCCGTAAACAGATGCTGGCGTGTTAAAGGGATACTAGGCTCTCTCAATTGGCCCATAAATTTGATTCATTCGTTCAAACACTAAGTTTCTGCCCACTCTAAAAATCCCGTTAAGGGTTAGAATCAGCCTTCAACATCCCCTGCTTATGGTAACAGGTGACTAACAGTGTGGATGTTCATGATGTCAATCACTGGACTATCTGACCCAGACTCGATTATTAACAAACCGCCGTCATATAGCTTTAATGTTGCTGAGTGCTGCGTTAAGCAACAAAGAACAAATCTGTGATGTGTATTATTTTTACAATTTTAAATTACCATAATTACAGGTAGACAATATATATAATAATGTGTATAATAGCATGTATATATGGACTACCGACCATGGAGAGTTGGAAAGAACTGTATATCACAGATCCTGACGTAAATCAATGAATTGGTGTTGGTCTAGATGTAACGTATTAACGTACTAGTTATTTATGTCGGTTATGACGCTCTTTTACAGCGTTCCTTCGACTGTCACACTTTTTCATTCCTTACAAAATAACCTTTTAACATCCATATAAAGCACTCTTAGAGATCACCGGCCCACTTCAACCCCACTAGCTATTTGCAGCTCTAATTACATTAAGACTTCGGAGATATAATATCTCAACGGACCATGGTTTGTTCTATATTTTGAACGAGCTACGCGTCCATCTATTGTTTCAGGTAATGAGTCATTTGGGTGCTGCTTATACAAAAGATTGTTTTTCACCCTAGAAGATTGGACTAAATAATTTTCCATCTTGTTCTGAGAACAGTGCTAATCCAATCAAGTTACCTCTTTGAGCAGAGCTTTCCAACTCTAATTTTTCTACATGTTGGACAAACGTTGTGTTTTTGGAAACAACATGGAAGCATATATTGATCAGCTGTAGAGGGAATCTTGCAAACACGAAACACATAATAGCCTTGTAGTCATCTCACTCTATTCGACAAGAAGACATCCGCCAGTGGCGCTCTTAACCTTTATAGCCATGTCAAGTATTTTGCCTCACTCCACTTTTGTTTTTTCAGGAATGGTGTCTGACAGACTTATATTTAGCAGGGAAGTGGATCCTCATGGCGTAGAAGACTAAATCTCTTCTAATAGCGAGTGGGTTTTCCTACCAGAAGCGACTCTAACTGCCGGGATATGTATCAGAAGCCAAGATTCCCCTAGCCGTTCTGGAAGCGCCTGGGTGATACCGTAGCCGATTCACAATACTATCTACATCATGCGACTTCCAAAGAATTTCCTTTCATGGATAACAGAGTTTATATTTTTATTATTGTGCGTGTTAATGTGTTGTATCGTCTCCGGAGAGCATCCCCATGTGCAACTTCATGCTTTGATACCGAGTCACTTTCATTGGTCACAGAGCTTTCAACGGGTTCTGGTCTCCAAGTTGATGTCCTATCGTCGGGACAGTAGGTACCGAGGGCTGTTCAGGGCCATTAATCTACACACTAATGTGACGTTTCTCAAGAAGGATGATCCTAAGGAGATTCTGAATTCATTCTGTGATTATGTGTTTCCCTACAATACTACAGCAATAATTCACGTCAACAATCCTTTATCATTCAGGAGACGGACTGCTGCTAGTCAGTATGTGCTAGAAATTGCTTCTTATTTTGGTATACCTGTGATATCGTGGGACCCAGAGTACCCAGGATCTTTGCACGTAAGTAGAATTTTTTAACTACCGTCATGTGTACATGACACTTTTATTCTATTGATAACAACTTTTGTAATGACTTTTCAGAGCTACTTCTTGTCCCTTCATCAGGTGAAAACTAAGGAAGCGTATAAAACGAATACCGCCATTGGATTCTCGTTTTCAGACGGTCGACTTATGATGTGATATTTGTGGGTTCGAATCCCGGTTCGCCCCGATTATGTTTCTAGGTTTGTCAGCACCATACCCGTGTTCGTGGGTTTCACCGAAGTGGTAAAGGTCTGAGGCCTGCATCACTTCGGGCTTTCCTCCCACATTAAGCTGACACGCCGTGATGTAACTAGAACACTGTTAAAAGCGGCGTTATACCCAACTCACTCTTGCTCACTGATATGATATGCTAACTCAAATACGTTGTTGGAGACAAGCGTTTTGATACAAGACTATTAAGTTTTTGACAATACATCAAAGATATATCTTCTTATATCGAATTAACATGGCTACCGAATTTATAACTACGGGGTCGAATTTTCATATTTTTTAAAAAGCAAAATATGTTCCCGAAAAGTAATTTGTCTACAAGTTTAATTACAAAACTTAACGTTCACGAGACATGCTGGATCTGAAATAATGTTTTGCGGGTAAAGAAAACATTGCTTATCCTCCTAGACATTTTAGTTGTGTGTCTCGAAGCGTTGAGTCAAAATATGTTGTCGCAAGCAAAATCACCAGTTTCCATCCAAATATTAAATGGTGTCTACTTGTTTTATAGGGATCCTATTTGCATTATCAATTATATATAATAGTTTTTGTGTACTATTGTTAAAGGAAAAGAATATCATCATCACAAGTGGAGTGGTACAAGTATCTGTATCATATGAAGCTGATTACAATGCATTATCTCTGTTACTTATGTTATGATGTATCACGAACAAAATATGTCAATATTTTCCAGGTTTAATGGAAATACTTGACCTGATATTTGAAATAAAAACGTAGGGTTATTTATCTTGCGAATAGGTTAAAGCAATTTTAAAGGTCCTATTTTACGACAGGACTTATTGTTTTGTTGGTTTAACGCCGCACCTAGCAATATACATGAACCAGCGATGTCACGGCTGCAAGTTAATGACGGAGTCTTGAGACCAGACAATTGGTATTATGAGCACTGTCCCTTGGCGCCTTGGTACCATAACACGCAATGAACCAAGTCACAGAGCCTGACCACCCTATCCATAGAGTCGCCTCATTTGACCAGCAAACGCTGCTGGGGCCCTTTTCTAACTCAGAATCCCCACGAGCCCCAAATGCATATTTCAGTAAGTAGCGCTATATTTGAGTCTCTTTGGCTTCCTTCTGTCCAAATGTTGCTGTATAATGATATACCCCTGTTCCTTTGTGGACGCCGTTGCCATGATCATCGCTAACTGTAGGTGATAGCATGGACAACGTCATATCTGAAGCTGAAAATAGGTGATACGTGGGTTTCGGTGACTTCGTCATATCCCTGATAACTAATTGTGGCTTAGGATGCTACAACGACGTCAAATCCATAGCTTAGTGTAACTGACACTGAGGGCGCTAGAATATATAGCTATAGTTATATAGTCATAGCAATAGTTCACTGTAGCTGATACTCAGGTTGCCAGAACGACGTCATTGCTATAGTTCCCTGCAGCTGTAGTTCACTGTAGCTTATATTCATGTTGCTACAACGACCTCATAGCCATAGTTCGCTGCAGCTGTAGTTCACTGTAGCTTATATTCAGGTTGCTAAAACGACGTCATAGCCATAGTTCGCTGCAGCTGTAGTTCACTGTAGCATATACTCAGGTGTAACTGACACTGAGGGCGCTAGAATATATAGATATAGTTATATAGTCATAGCAATAATTCACTGTAGCTGATACTCAGGTTGCCAGAACGACGTCATTGCTATAGTTCACTGTAGCTGACTTATACCCATGCTGCTAAAAGGACGTCATAGCCATAGTTCGCTGCAGCTGTAGTTCACTGTAGCTTATACTCAGGCTGCTAGAACGACGTCATAGCCATAGTTCGCTGTAGCTGTAGTCCATTGTAGCATATACTCAGGTTGCTAAAAGGACGTCATAGCCATAGTTCGCTGCAGCTGTAGTTCACTGTAGCTTATACTCAGGTTGCTAAAACGACGTCATAGCCACAGATAACTCTAGCTGATACTCTGATATAGCTAAGTCTACATCTTATCTAAAGCCGACTGTAGCTAACACCAGGGCTACTAGGATGACGTCATATCCATATCTATTATAGATGATTGTGTCATAGCCATAGTTCGCTGCAGCTATAGTTCACTGTAGCTTATATTCAGGTTGCTAAAACGACGCCATAGCCATAGTTCGCTGTAGCTGTAGTCCACTGTAGCATATACTAAGGTTGCTAAAAGGACGCCATAGCCATAGTTCGCTGTAGCTGTAGTTCACTGTAGCTTATACTCAGGCTGCTACAACGACGTCATAGCCATAGTTCGCTGCAGCTGTAGTTCACTGTAGTTTATACTCAGGTTGCTAAAACGACGTCATAGCCATTGTTCGCTGCAGCAGTAGTTCACTAGGCTGATACCCAGGTTGGTAGAACGACGTCATAGCAATAGGTCGCTGTAGCTGACTGATACCCAGGTTGCCACAACGACGTCATACCCATAGTTCGCTGCAGCTGTAGTCCACTGTAGCTTATACTCAGGTTGCTAAAACGACGTCATAGCCATAGTTCGCTGCAGCTGACTGATACCCAGGTTGCTAAAACGACATCATAGCCACAGCTAACTCTAGCTGATACTCTGATAGCTAAGTCTACATCTTATCTAAAGCCGACTGTAGCTAACACCCGGGTTGCTAGGATGACGTCATATCCATATCTATTATAGATGATTGTGTCTGATGTATTTGCCGTAAACAGCTGACTTTGGTATGTGCAACAGCTGATTACCCAGGACGTATACACCCTGTGGTCGTATGTGTTATTGTACTTGAAATGTATATTCCCAGACAACAAAGAAGCGTTCCGTTATGAGACACCGTCAGCAGCGAACTGTTACGTGATCGTGTTTTCCTTTCTCCTTCACTGTTTCCCTGTGCGGTACTATCCGATGTCACAACTAGGATTGCAAAGCTGGTATATATTCTCCGTGGGTGGCAGTGTTCAGTGCGTTCGGGCTTACTCCCCTAGAACTGAAGAAAATCACGGAGTCAACACTAAGGCTTGCACTAGGTTATTACTGGAACGATTTGTATACTTTCACGCTACGCCAGAAATTACAATTTTGTAAAGATGTATGTTTGTAGGTTACCTAAATTATTGCTTTCTTTGTGTCAGAGTTGTTCCACTTTCACGCGTTCAACTGTTAGATACTTGTTAATGGGACCGCAAAAATGTTAAATATTTGTTAGTAAGATCTCAGAAAAGTCAGATACTTGTTAATGGAATCTCCGAAAACTTAGATACCTGTTAATGGTATCTCAGAAAAGTTAGATACTTGTTAATGGGATCTCCGAAAAGTTAGACACTTGTTAATATAGGATCCAAGACAAGATAGACACTTGTTACAAGGACTCAAGCATTCTATATACTTGCTACTGGGATCCAAGACAAGCTAGATACGTGTTAATAGGATCCCAGACAAGATATACACTTGTTACAAGGACTCAAAGCAACCTAGATACCTGCTACTGGGCTCCCAGACAAGCTAGATACTTGTTACTGAGACCACAACCAAGCTTGGTACCCGTTAAAGAGACTCCAGGCAAGCTAGACTGTGGAAGAAGCAGTATCTGTTTCACAAGCAGGGCAAAGCGGAGAACCTTCTGTATCATATTGGAGGCAATAGTTTATCTGTTCATATTTGTCTCAGTAATCTTCACGGGCGTAATGTATTTATATTATTTTTCAACAATGGCGGTCTTTTTCTTCCCTATTACATGAGTGTCTATGGTAACCATTTCAGTGAGTGAATTTGGTTTTACGCCGCTTTGAGCAATATTCCAGCAATATCACGGCTGGGGACACCAGAAATGGGCTTCACACATTGTACCCATGTCAGGATTCGAACCCGAGTCTTCGGCGTGACAAGCGAACGCTTTAACCACTAAGCTACCCGACCGTCCCTGGTGACCTTTTCAAGGTGTAATCGGCCCAGTCGTCCAAGAAACTGTGCAGAGGTTGGTCCCTTCAGCTTAGTTGCGTGCCAGAATCCAAGGATTGTTGGTTCGAATCCCCTCCCCCCTTCCCCCCACTCCGCCACCCCCCCACCCCCCGAATATGTTTCTAGGTTTGTCAGTACCATACACGTGCTCGTGGCTTTCACAAGAGTGGTAAACGTCTAAGACCTACATCACTTCAGGCTCTCCTCCCACGTCACACTGAGATACGACTAAAATACACTTTAAGACCTCGTTCATCCTAGGTACATCCAAGGCAATTGGTTTGATTTGCCTTTTAAGCGTTCGTTCGCTATTTTTGAAGATCTGGGTTCGATTCGCCACACTGTTTGTGTGTCCTCTGTCGTGATGTGCCTGGATTTAGCTTTTAGCTGTGTGAATGCTGACACATCCGTTCAAAAACCGAGGCGTTTATTGGTCACGTTGAGTAGTTAGGTTTCATTAAGCTTTTCGTTTTGACGTGATTTTTTTTAAAATCGGGAAACACCATCATTCAATTTAGCCTCCCTGAAGCTTTTAAGAAAATAACCTTCTTAATGAATGTACACTTGGAATATGATGGCCCTTTATCGATTCCATTGAAAGAACAAAACCTATGTACAGATAGCGAGAGATTGGGAAAGATGGACTGAATGTATCCCCGATAGCAGTGGTAGGTTACATGCAACGGATGTGGATAGTTGCTTAACTGCTGAATCCGGTTTGTCGGGGATGCAAGCACAATGTTTAGCAACGAGTGCTACTATAAAAATGTATAATGAAACGTACTTGTTTTTGATCAATACGAAGCAATGTCTTTAACTGTGTACT